AAAAAAAAAAAATAAATTTAGCAATGTTAATTTATATATATAAAAAAAAAAAAAATGTACCTGTAATTCTTGTGTGCCTTATTATTTTTAATAATTTTTCTTTCACATAAATGTATCATGATGTTTGGATGTTTTGTACAACAAAGTAATGTAAAAAAAATAAAAAATAAAATAAAAATAAGACAGATATATGACGTATTATTAAAAAATGACATCAACTATGTTGCACTGAGTTTTATTGGTGCAGCTGTTGTTATAATTATAAAGATGAAATATTGTCAACGTGAATTAGTGCTGTTATGTTCATACAGTTTTGGAATTTTGAATAAGTTAAGATTTTCTCTCATTTCCTTTTGTCCAGGTCCCACACTATCGTGTTTTTCACGCTGTCTTTCCTTTTCTCCTTTCACTTGTTTCTCTTACTCTCCCTCCTGCCAGCTCCCTGTGTCTGTCTCTCTCTTCTGTTTTCAAGCATTTAAAGCACTGAGGGCTTTTAAGGGACGTTAATTGCGCTCAAATTATGTTCGACCGTGCTAGGAGAGAGGTAACATCTGAGACAGAGAAGAGAGAGGGGGATGGCAGAGTGAAAGGATAATTGCAGCGGAGAGGGACATTGCGACTGGAGACGCTTTCTCGGCCTCTTTTCGTTTGTCTGAGAGTCATTCTGTCTCCATGCGTGAGGTTAGAGGTGGGGGAGCGCGGGCCACTCGACATCCACCGCCCTGTAAACAAGTTGCTAGGCGATCGGCCTACGATTCCCATCAGCCAACTGGATTGAGCAAACTAACACGGAATGAAAGGCCAGCCTTGCAGTTCCCATAGTAACCTTGGAACTTGGTTAAAAGGTTGTCAGCATGAAGGAGGGAGAGAAGGAGAAGAGAAAGTAGAAAGAAATGAAAGAGAGTCAAAGTGAGCTGGGCACGGAGGAGAAGAAAGTGAAATGACTTGAGTTATTTCATTCTTTATTGAGATTCAGCACCCTAGAGACCCTCACAGCTGACCCATGAGTCGAGTTTATCACAGCTAATTTTGAAAGAAACTTCCTTAGGCAAAATAAAAATAGAACTAAATAAAAAAATACTGTTTTCCAGTAATAAATAAATAGACAAATAATAATAATAAAAACTTTACAATATTTAATGTATCTTTAATATTTAATGTATCTAAAATATATTTAAAAACTGTATCCAACCAAATTATGTGAAATTTATGCTTAAAGCTATTAAAACAATTCAGTAAGAAAAGATCAACTTAATTCAATATATATACTTTGCAAACAAGTATTATTTCCTTACGTAGCCTACTATAAAACTTTTATGAAGTAAAATAATCTTATTTTTAAAGATTTTTCTTTCTAAATGAGATTAAACTTTCTAAAACCGTGCATGTATGCTTCAAAAACATAAAACTATTTTTTTTCTTAACCAGTATTGTGGTCTTCCTTAAAATACCTACACATCCTTAAAACAGGATTAACTTGCTTAATTAAATTTATTTATAAGATTAATTACA